ATAAATTGTAAGTCGCTCTGGATAAAAGCATCTGCCGAACGAATAAACATAAACATAAATATTATTTTACGAGTCTTATACTCTTTTCCTCAGTCTTTCTGGATTAATAAGCTAATCAGCAGAACAAATGCAGCCGACATCAGTGTATCTTTCTGCTGCCTTATAACAGCTCCACTCTCTAAAATATTCTGCAAGGTCATAAATGGCATTTCATGAACCTCTCTAATGCTTGAATTTACACACTAATCTTTTGGGTTTTTCATTAGCAGCAACAAAGTGTATCGCTTTCATTGCATCTAGAGGTCATGACCTGCAGAAGTGTCCTAATGTTTCTGTTCAAATAATCTTATAGCGAAAACTGACAATGCTGTGAAGGTTTAAACATAGAATTAGCTTAACTCACAGTAGAATTCAGGACAGAACCCATCAGCTCTGGAGATGTGTTCTTTTGGACTGTACTGATGACCCAACTCCAAAAAGTATTGCTGTCATCTTAAAACAACTCCAATCTTATAAATGTAACATAAATTCTATATAATAGAATACATAAATATGTAAATTTAAATTGTATTAACTGATATTAAATTTTGGAGATTGGATCTATTTCAAGGTGGCAAAAATACACTTCGGTCTTTTGAGACGCAGCGATCTTTACCATAGACTTACACTATAACTGGTGCATGAGCGCTGGATCCCCCTCCAATACAAAGAATAAGAGAGCATTTGGTCGCAGCGGAGTCTCAGCTCAGGATGTTCACCCGGAACCAGAAGCTCTCCACAGTGCACCTTTCTTTTCTTTTCTTTTTTTTTAGCTCACTGTTCTTTGTTCATTTTAGAGCAGCTGAGTACACCCCGTGGAGCTGTTTTATTATGGAGAACGGGAAAATGATGGAATGAGGCATCAGAGACCTGTAAACACTCTCCAGCAGGTAATCACAGCCCAGAACGGTCAGGGATCAGCTCAGAGTGATGTTGGGACATTGGATTTTTACTACAACACGGATTATTATGACCATAAAATAGCAAAGGTCAAACTGAATTTCCACTTCTGACTTCAAAAAATTAGCTTTGTTTGTTTTGCTGCTGAGTTTGCATATATTGGTGAATGTTAAGCTGTTTTTAATGTTAATGTTTTTGGAACTTTGTTGCTGGAATTGCTCGTGGATTCCGGGTCCAATGGGTATAAGTTGTGTGAGACACATTAGAATTTGGAGTCCCCTGGTGGTTATATGTGGTTAGCACATCTGAAAACAGACGGCAAAATTGCGTCTCCACCCCAATAATAATTCACCCAATAGGACATGCCAAGGGAACTTCCCCGGGGAGGCATCCAGGAGGCATCCTAATCAGATGCTTCTTGAAGTGGAGGAGCAGTGGGTCTTCTCTGAGCCCCTCCAAGATGACTGGGCTTCTCACTCTATCTCTAAGGGAAAGCCCAGACACCCTGCAAAAAAAACTCATTTTGGCTGCTTGTGTCTGCAATCTCGTTATTTCGGTCACTACCCAAAGCGACAAAGGGCAGCCTTGGCAGAGTCTAACTCTCAGTGGAAATGAGCCCGACTTACTGCTGGCAATTAGGACCAAGCTCTGACACCAGTCATACAACGGCCTAACAACCTGTATCAAGGGGCTTGGTACCCCACACTCCTGGAGAACCTCCCACCAGGCTCCTCGAAGGATGTGGTTAAACGCCTTCTCCAAATCCACAAAACACATCACTGTTCCACAGCCAGGACAAAAACCAATTTGTTCCTCATGAATCTGAGGTTCGACTATATGACGGACCCTCCTCTCCAGACCCCCTGGAGGCTCAGGAGCGTGAATCCCATATAGTTGTAACACATTCTGTGGTCCCATTTTTTTTAATAAGGGGACCACCACCCCGGTCTGCCAATACATTGGAACTGGCCCCAATGTCCATGCAAAATTGCAGAGCCATGTCAGCCAACACAGCCCCACAACATCCAGAGCGTTAAAGATCTTCGGGTGGATCTCATCCACCCCCGGAGCCTTGCCACCAAGGAGATTTCTGACCAGCTCTGTGACCTCAGCACCAGAGATTGGAGAGCCCAACCCAAAGTCCCCAGATTCTGCTTCCTAAATACAAGACGCGTCGGTGGGGTTTAGGAGGTCTACAAAGTGCTCCACCCACGATCCACAATGTCCCAAGTCAAGGTCAGCAGCACACTGTAAACAGTGTTGGTAGCGCACTGCTTTCCCCTCCTGAGACACCGGGTTCTTAAAACTATTTCAATCCTAAATATTTTATTATGGGCCATGTGATCAACTGTTTAACCACCATCAATAGTTCAGTACATCATATCTCTCCGAGAGAGCCTGTGTTCCTGTTGGTGATGGTGCACGACTATGTAAACAAGAATAAGAGGAAACCGTTTGTGAAAATTCTCATCTTTCACTATGAAGAGGAAGGAATCATTTGTTTACTGAAAAGATCACACACACACACACACACACACACACACACACACACACACACACAAATGTCTCAACTATCCTCTTTGTATAATGAGTAGGTCAGTGGTCAACACTTGAGTAGAGAGGTAGGAAGCAGGGATGGACTGGCCTATCTGGCATTCTGGCACTGTCCCGGTGGGCCGCTCAGTCAAGTGGGCTGCTTGCCCAGCTTGTGCCAACACTACTCCACAGTTGGTGATCTGCAGAACATTAGCTACATGGTAACCCGAAGCTAAGAGTTTTTCCAGGCATTTTTAGCAAGAAAAATGCGGTTGAGCGACGACGTGGGATCTGTTTTATCAAGTTAGCATGTAGCTAATGTCCCGCTGACCTCCGCCCGTGGAGAATGAGTTGATCTGGAAGGCCAGGGCTCCCGGTCGCAGCGGTCTGGCCTTGCTTGTAATTTAACAGTCCCAGTCCATGTTAGATCTCACATTCGACCTAGAGACGAGTCCACGGGCAGCAACACCTCCAACCCCCACAGTTCTCCCAATGGGGAGGGCCGACGATTCGTAAAAATGCCAGGGCTAAATTTTGGTCCCATTCCACCCTTGGTAGGAAGGCACCAACTCAAAGAGTGTTTCTGTTTTATGATCTCCTGGGCAGTGCGTGTCATACTGACATGGTGCCTGCATGCATTTGTGCTGAGGAACATTTTCCTGCTTTGTTACAAATATGCAGAAAAATGACCACATGAGCCCATGCTGCATCAGTCCACAGCTGCACACAGTCACCATGAAACCAAACTCTAATCATGTGATCTACTCAGAACTCTGGTTGGTGGAAATTTTAGTTTTTTTTTTTTCATGTATAGCAGATTCTAAAGAATCTATAAATACATGACACTGAACATTTACAATTAGATAAAATGCAGTTTTACCACTAGCTGGTCTCAAAAGGTTTAAGCAGAGATGTATAGCTCTGAGAAGTTGAATTTGACATCCTGTTAGCAGGACAGGAATAAACATTACAACAAAGTCTAGAAATGTGACAACTGGAGTGTTTCACATGCAGATCAGCTTTTAAATTCAAGATAAATGTATTTTGTCCATTTTCAGGTTCATAATTTACAAAGAATAAATGTGTATCAAACAACTAATAATCAGTGACTGGTGATAAAATGCGCTGCTCTGCAATATTTAATTATTTATTTTGAACAGCTAATATCTGTCAGCTTTAGTCACTTGAGAGAATTTATGATTTATGTTAGTATACAAACCATCCATCCAGTCACAAAAGTCAATTTACGTTATTTTTGTGTAAAAATAAACAATGATATTCATAGATGGACTGATGTGATATAAATAGAATCAATTCAATGTGCACAAAAGAAATATGTTGCATGTCAGTAAAGGATGGGCACTCACGACAGCTAGGGCCTGCTGTTTTGGTTGAGGCCAGCGCAAATGGCCTCAAAGCCTACCAGCTTTTAAAATCACACACATGCTTTCATGCACACACACACACACACACACACACACACACACACACACACACACACACACACACATACACACACACACACCACACACACACACACACACACACGGCTGCTAATGTGGTGTCCCAGACAGCTTCCGGATGTCTACCCATTTCCTATGGAGCTACTGCAGGTCCCTGTTCATAAGTCTGAAGACTCCCTGGGGGCAACCGGCTACTTTATGAACCTATCTATTGTTTCCTCCCCCCACTCCAAAGCTTCAGTCAACACGTACGCACATATGTTCATCCATGCACACACAGGCAGACTCGGGGCCAGCACTCAGACATAAGAAAGTCCCCGGATTTTGCATGATCTCACTTTAATTGCAATTTGCATGGTTTTATCATGCAGGTGCGCTCCTATCCACCATGTTTGACTAAGTTAACGTGCAGTAATGAAAATTTCACCTGATCAGCAGAAACAAAGCACCACTCAGAGACGGGAAAAGGTATTCTTTTTAGGTAATAAGTCACATTTTGCTCTCAAGGATTTTGCCCTCTCATTAGTTTGTTTGCTGCTAGAACGTCTGCTTCAAAGCTGCAGTTCTACCTTTGCCAACCTGCACATCTTCTTTCCAGCTGTTCGCCCGTCTGCACTAATCAAAGCACAAACGTGTCATTTCCCACTCCAGCTCAGGAGCGCAGAACGACCTCTTTCTGCCAATCAAACAGGACTACAAGACCTAATTCTCACTTTTAATACCCTTTTTTGTGTATTTAGCTAATCTGGGAGATGACAGCAAATGTAAGTGTGAAAAAATGTGTGTACCCTCCCAGGCAGTTTTAACATGCTGGTTAAAGAAGGGGGTGGGGGCAGGGAGGCACCAAAACAATAACAGAGCTAGCGGTAAAAGCTGACGCCCAGTTTTTTTGCAGTCTTTCTCAACGGCGCTTTAATGAAAATGACACTTTTTATTCCTAATGAGGTATTTTTAATAAAAATGGCTTAACTGCTCCAAAGTGTCTTTTTATATTGGATTTTTTTTATTTTAAATGAGGTGGTTCTTTGTTCTCTAACTGAAAGGAGTGAAGGACAAAAGCAGTTTTCTTAAATATCATTTATTGCATGTTTCTATAAAGAATCAATACAATCTAAAGCAATGAGCTAAGTTTTAAATTATCATTTCTTAGTAGCATCACAATGTGCATGATATGAAATATGTACAATGAAAAGACACAGCAAGGTAAGCCATAGCCCAAATCGTAACCTTTAGATGCCAAATAAAAACTCAGAAACTTGATCCAAAATGCAAAAAACATACTGCTCGAAAACACCAAGAGGTTCCGTTAGCAAAAAAAAAATAAAAACAAAACAACAAAAACAAAAAAGATTTACATTTTAAAAAGTGGAGAAAAAAATGTACAAAGAGGACACATTAGAGTTTTTTCTTGTTTAACAAATGTTATTAACATTATTTCTACATTTGGTACCACCGTGTAAACTAATTTTCAAATGTGTAAATATTGCATAGATGCCTTTTTGTGTTGTACCTAAGTATCAAGAAGTATTTTTGTCGTGTTTTTTTTTTTTCAAATTATTTTTTTTCTGAATTACAGCGGTAAAAAACATCCTCATAGTGGCATCCATTTAGCAAGACAAAAGTGAATAAAAATCAACCGTATCGGTTAGCATATAACTTAATTAGTGCTTTTGTTGTTTTAGAAAGTTCATTCAAACACTTATTTATGTACAGTACAAACATGTTCTTTAACTTAACACCTCTTAGCATTTTTGCTCCGATGGAATTCTCTAGAACTATTTACAGCATATAGGCAAAGGTTAAGTACCGGTGAGTTTGGATAAATAAGATACTTCCCTTGTTTGTTTCTGTTGTTTTAGCATGTGTGTGTGTGTGTGTTTGTGTGTGGTTCCCATTCAGTATGATGTTCCGTTGTTGTTTTGCAGTTGTACCGTTTCTATTAAAACGCACGTTCCCGAGTTCAGGAAAACTCGTGACTACATTCAGCGCGTCTTGTGTTACAATCTAGTTTGTAAATGCAAGACCGTGCAGTGGAGGCTGCAGATTCAACGGCCGCTCAGTCGGAGTCCTGTCCAGTCGGAGGCACTAGGCTTGTCCAGTTCCACTAGAAAACAACATTCATTCATAATTACTCGTGTTCTGTGTCCCGACAGGTCGCCAACAGGTAGCCATTTCCTGCGGGACATCACAGGTGAACGCTGACAGGACACGGATTTGTTTGGGTTTGTTGGAACTAAGGTCCTCTTGGTGTCGTTTTACTGTGAGTTATCATGTATAATAATAAATATATTAATCTATTACTTGTCATTAATGTGGCAAGAGAAGGTGGTTAATCTCTGAGAGGCTCTCTCGCTCTCTCAGTCAGGAACATTCAGTCTTTAAGATGATCGGATAGATCTTTGATGTGTTTAAAGGTCCAAACTAAGAAGGTCCACCAGGTGGAAGCTGATGGTTTGTGTAAGGCTTTGGATTGATGGTGTTATTTTCTTTATTATCTTTCAACATTCACCTCTGAAAATAAATATTTTATATATATATTCTACCGTGTGACTCTGTGCTGAGGTAGGATTTTTTTTCCCAAGCAAACGTCAGCTTTGATTTTTAAATATGTCCATAGATGCCGTCTCTTTTTGCAGTACAATCTTGTATACAAATCCTCACACATCTTATTTTTTTTCTGAATGCATACGTACATGATAAATAAATAAATACATGTATTCAGTACTCAGGATCTCCAGGTTTGGTTCACAGGTTTACAGGTGAGAACATCTGGCAACGTCCGCTGGCTGTAGCCAGAGGAAAAACCCGTGATAAGGTGGTGTGGAAAAGAGTTCCAGACAATCAAAACGGGGAGTAAAATGTCATAATGCAAGAGTTTTCTAAGGCGTACAAACAGAAAGAGAGTAAGAATGTGTTTCAGGGTTGTTGTTTTTTTCTATCACTACAGCAGCATCAGCACCTGAAATGTTTAGGTGCTGGGAAAATATTAGGGAGGATGTGGGGCAAGGGTCAAGTGTCTGTGTTTCCATGGTGATGGGCGCCCCCAGTGAACCCTAGAGGCAGTAGAGAGGGGAAGGGACTACGGCTTCGGCACGCGGTCCAGCTGTCGCAGTGGTGACCTCGTCATCTGGGTGCAGTGAGATTCTATTTTCACAGGAAAATGAAGCGAGGGGGGAGACCCATCAGTCTTCATTCTGAAGGAAGAAAAGGAAGAAATTTGGTTAAACATCTCATCCTGATAATCTGTTTTGCAGATTACATTTTTCCTTATTAATATTCTTTTCTGAGGGCTTTTAATGGAATGGGATTAGATGCCAGGTGGGAAATGGATTCTTAAACAGAGACTTGAAGGGGTCTGGTTTTCTGCGTGTGTGTGTGTGTGTGTGTGTGTGCGTGCGTGCATGCGTGTGTGTGTGTGTGTGTGTGTGTGGCAGGTGTTTGTGTAGAAGCACAAGCAGTGATGGAAAGGTGTCAAAAACCACACTTTTAAACTAAACCCACAAATTTCCCATCTTCTCTCTCTCTGCTTGGCCACTGTGTACATGTTTGTGAGGTTTCATTTGCATGCAGAGCTATCAAATGGGAGCGGAAGTCTTGGCTGGCTTGCTCTCACACACACACACACACACACACACACACACACACACACACACACACACACACACACACACACACACACCACGAGTGTGTGAGAGAGAGAGAGAGAGAGAAAGAGAGAGAGAGAGAGAGAGAGTGGCTGTATTTTGGGCTCCTCATCGTCTTCCTGACTGTGAACAAGAGCTGGATGTGATCATCATTTCCTAAAACAAACCTTTCATTCAGAATCCTTTGGTGTCTCCCCCGACTTCAACTATTCCCACCATAAACAAGGGCGCACACACACACACACACACACACACACACCACACACACACACACACACACACACACACACACACACACACACACACACACACACACACACACACACACACACACACACACACACACACACAAACAAATGCTTTCTGGTTTCCTATCTCAAAAGCTATAAAAGCTTTTGCAAATCAAAATGTAATGCTAATGTTGATTCTAAGAAAAAAGAAAGTATCTTGGAGGTACCTGAGATGCAAACATACGGACCCTCAAAGGCCATTTGAATAACACAATAATAGATTTTACCCCCGAGGCCACCTGTGCCGGCTGAGATCTGCTTCCTTCACTGGGAAGGGTGTCGGAGACACAAAAAAACAGAAAACACAGAGGTGGGAAGTGGTGGTAAAAACCACAGTAACAGAATCAACCTGACAGAGGGGAACGGGAATGCAGTGAGGTCATGAGACCAACGGTCCATAACAATCGTAATGTGAGTGTTTTTCTGGAGGGGCTGGGCCAGTCAGCAGCCTGTAGAGGCAAGCACATGGGTGAGAATGACTGGGATCTGCTGGGAAATGGAGGGCTGAATCACTCGCACAGCTCAGATCATCAACCAGGTGTAGCTTCGAGCACAAACGGAAGCACCGCCGCTTCATTTACTGCAACCAACACCAGCGCAAAATTAAGTGGCATGCAGCGCCTGGCCACACACGCTGCTATTCACACACACTCACACACACACACAAGCAGATCGGAGTAGAGAAAAGGGGAGGGGCATTTGGGGGATGTTATTGAGAGGAGGAGACACTGAGGTCCTGTGGGGGGAATGAACCCAGTAGCCTCTACCCCTCCTCATTTTGGAGCACACACACACCCCACCTCTCTCGCTGCAGCTCAGCATCCACGCCCCCTATCCCAACCCACACACACACACACACACACATTCAGGGTCTATTCGTTATTTATTTAGTTCACTCATGCTAAAATTAGTCCTGCTCCATTCAGAGATATGAGACACAAACAAATATAAACAACCTTTTTGACTTTTTGCTCTGTATGCTTGCAGATGATCCCATATTTCAACCATCTCATGCTCAAAATAAGCTTTGATAAAAGGACGAACAACTAAGTCCTTCAGGGGTACTTCTGAGTTTAGAAATGCTCATGAAATACGTTTGTGGAGTAACCAGGTAGGTAGGTTTGCAAATCACCTGCTTCCAGAGGGTTAATCAGCAGTCAAAATAAAAGTGCCTTCAGCTTGTTGGTATCACGCTGAAAATGGAGAGAGAGAGAAAGAGTAGCAGGCTCAGATCCACTCTGTTTACATTCCTACCCCGGCCGACTCCTCCCTGATCTACAGCGGCGCAACGCCAAACAAACACTGACACACACCTCTGACCTTACACACCTCTGTTTGACCAACTAAACAAAAACAACAGCCCACTCAGTATGAGGAAACTAAATATTCTTGTTGCAAACCTCGAAACAGAAGATATGTTTATGTTTACTCATTTGGCAGACGCTTTTATCCAAAGCGACTTACAATTTATAACCTATAGGGCATGTTGTGATCTGTGGGGGAAACCGGAGTACCCGGAGGAAACCCACGCATGCATGGGGAGAACACGCAACCCCACGCAGAAAGGCCGCAGCCGGGTTTCGAACCTGCAACCTTCGTGCTGCGAGGCAAATGTGCTAACAACCGCGCCACCATGCAAGCTATTTAGCATGACGCTAACCAGAAACTATTCTACTACTTATTTTCATTTGAATTACTGATTTATCATTGAAGAAAGTTTCTCTAAATTAACAAACTGATTTATTTAGCTCATACAAACGGATAAAAACTCACCATCAGGCTACAAAAAGATTCAGGCCTGATTTTGTCTCGTTTGTGTTTTGATGACTGCTTGGGTCACCGTGCACAGACGCCCCATCTCTCCCTCACCTTTCAGCAACAAACAACAGAGCGATGTGTAATCCTGAAGTGAACGTAATCCTTCTTACCTCCAGGCCTAATTGAGGATGCGTGAGGTGAACTTTGTTTTCATCTAGCGCTGGAACACCCCGCCCTACTTTGCTCAAAGAGTTATGTATCAGTGAGGCACCAGCTGTCGGTGAGGGGGGGGTGTTCAGGTGAGGAGAACCAAAAACAGAATAAAGCGGAAAACCTCAAATGACTTTTGGAGGTAAAATGATTTTATAGAGGAAGCAGCGACATGAATCGCCACGTTTCTTATTATTGGCTTTTACTCACATGCGGGTAGCTAATTTTTTAATGAGCTGTTTAGATATTTGTCTGTGGTTTTCTGTGAGAGAGGCCAATCAGGGATCCACAACAGGAAAAACACGACACCTAAATGCATTGTAGAGAAGGTGTGTGTGTGTGTGTGTGTGTGTGTGTGTGTGTGTGTGTGTGTGTGTGTGTGTGTGTGTGTGAGAGAGGGGGGAAGGCTGGCTGAATCACTTCTGAAAACCAGAAACTAGGGTCTGAAGTGAAACAAGGAAAGGAGAGGTGGTGGTGGTGGGGGGGGCACCCAGGAGGTAGAAGGGGGGAGGGGTAGGGTTCTTGAGATGGCTTGGCCACACCCCCACCACCTCCCCCGTTGTTGTGGCGGCAGATGGTGGGCCAGTCATTGCCGTATTGTCACTCTCCTCAGAGGGGCCAGATAACCAGTGAGCACTGCTTGGCGGGGCAGGTGCAAAAACCCTGACCCCACCTCCCCCTCAACACACACACACACACACACACTCCACCATCTGCTGATAGCTGTATATGTACGCACATGGCACACAAAGTCAAAATGTGTCTGTGCATGTGTGTGGATACTGGAGACGAGAAGGGGAGGGGAGACAGTCTGGGGCCACAAATGGAGAGGGTGAGTCAGTTTTCTCCCTCTCGTCTGCACCCGTGCAAGACTGCTTTTATTCAAAGTGCAAAATGAATAAAAGAAGAAAGAAACATAAAAAATTGGGAGGAGTGATAAAAGGGCTTTCAGATAGTCTAAAATGAGACGTGACGGGGACATTCAAACAAAAGGAATAAAGGAAAGGTGTAAAAAATAGAACTCAGATCTCACCTTTTCCTCAATAACACAGAAATAAAGGTGTGTGTGATCCTTCGATCGTGTTTTAGAGCTCGCACAACGAACAATACTGGTGTTTCCATCTGTGTTTAATTATAGGCATTCTGAGCTCCTAAATTAGAAAATATTACTCATGAAACACCATTTGCTAAAAAATAAAAAAGTTCTCACACAAAGATAAATTAACTCTTCAGTAAATTCAAAACGTTCAATCAGAATTTAATGTTTAAGTAGCATTAAAATGTGTGTGGGCAGCTGTTAGCATATTAACTTAGCTAATCTCCATTTCTCCAAACTAATGTTGATCAAAGGACTATTTACATCACGATTTTTACAGTTTTTTCATACATTGGCATTGGTATACTGATACTTGACTTGAGTAAAGCAGATTTAAAATCAGGCACGCTTTTGGGCAGCCTGGTGCGGTTGCAGAATTGAATTCAAATGTATTTTTTACATTTATTAATAACATCTGCATAATAAATACTTTACATTAACTTTTTTTAAGTGTCTGACTTTAACACTGAGAAATGCACAAAGTTAAGATTTAACATTTAAGTTCAGAGTTCAAATACTGATTCAGCTCCAGAGATTCTGTGCATCAACTGATGTTATTAGTGACATTTTAGCATGAGAAGAGAGTGGAAAACGTCTAGATATCGGCCATCCTGCACATCAGCATCGGTATCTGCAATAGGAAAACCAATATCAGCCGACTTCTAACACCAACTGGTCGTAAACGTTCGATAGAAGTGTACTTGGGAAGATCTGAGCCCAGTTTTAACACTAAATTTGTTGAATGAGGAAATGTTTGTGCCAAAAGCTAAAACTCATCAGATCAAACACTTTTCAGTCTTTAAGTTCCTCACAATGACCGGCACACTTGCAGCAGTTTCTTCTGCAACTTGACAGGTGATGTCCTAATGTATGTGACGCTGGAATGCCAACAATAGCTCCCTCAAAGATTACAAGAGCATGTGGAAAAGCCTGTCATCTGTAGTAAACAGGATTGCATGCAGTTTCAGGAATGTTCTTTGTTTTGGAAGCGATGGTCGCTGACCTCTCTCCTACTCTGCATCTCTTCTTTTTTGTGTTGTTTTACCACTTCTTCACTTTCTCTCTCTCTCTTTCAGCCAACAGTCCGATTTGTCTATTTTGTTGTATGTGCAAACCAAAACAAGTCCTCCATCCATCCTGTTTTATCACCTCCCTCCTTTTCTCCTCCACCCCCTCGGTCCTAAAGCGAGTCAAGAGTCGAACGTTGTTTTCCGTGAATGTGTTGCAACAACGATGCACATGTGAACAGCACACATGTCCATCATGGAAGTTGACCGTCCCAAAAACAAAACATGTTTATCAGTGCTCACTCTTGTGAAAGAACATTTCATTGGCATGTTTGTGAAGTTGCTCACAGTGGGGGGAAAGAAAAGAATCCTCCCCCCCACCCCCACCCTCTAAGTCCATCCCACCAGGTTAGAAAAACAAGTGAGCATTCACCTCTCCCAGCAACCTTTGCACACTGCTCGCATTCCAGCCCTGAAACCCAGTACCTGACAATTGATAAACAACTGACTCACTTGTTTTTCCGGGGAACCCGATGACTTGCACCGAGCTCTACGCTGGCTGTGGCTCGCAGCACCAGAGCCAGCTGCGTCGAGCAGACAACTTGGTTGTGAAAGCACAAACACCAATTAAACTCTACCATTTCACCATCAGGAACACAGACTGGTGACTCACAATGAGCCTGTCTTGTTTTCAGGCAACAACAACTTCTGACATGCCTGTGCTGGGTCTACCACCTCTGTAAATAATCCCTGCCTTTTACAGATGCATGAAAGAACAATGATGCAACAGAATGAGGTGAAAGGTAATAGATTGACTGTAACTACTCCTTCCCACAAGTCACAAAGATATCTGTGTTTATTCACCCACACACACACACACACACACACACACTGCAGTTTCTACGTTACAAAACACTGTACGCACGGTTTCATAATTTGGAGGAAAAGGGGGCATTTTTGTTCTTCTAGCTGCTTCTAAAGAGCATCACAAGTACAGCTGAGTGCGTCAGTGAATAAAATCAGATATTTTCTTTTTTTTTAATACTGACGTGGTCCAAAACTGCGTCACTAAGAGAGATCTGAAAGAACCATTCACACACATCCACACAACAACAACGTCAAGTCAAATAGAATATATCTGTGAAAAGCCTTTTCAAAATAAAACATTATTGGACTCAAACGTGTACAAACTGAGATCCCTTATTGAAGTTTTAAGCACAGAAGAAGGCATCAATTCTAGGAATGATCACGGTCAACTTTTATTGTTCTGTTCGCGTTTGTCCATCTCGTCAGATTTCAGACTTGAAGCTTTTACTTGGAAGGAGCTTTTACGTGGCTACTTCCAGTGCTCCTCCTCTGCAGTTTGAAACAGATAAAAGACTTCCTCAGCATCACACAGCCTTGAGATGTTTCTGAGTTATGGGTGTGACGAGTAGGTGACTAATCCTAGCTAAACATCACAGCACACACCCAACAGCAGTGCTAATAAGCAGTTTACATCACGCAGCTCTGCTAGCCTGTGTGTACATATCACTATTAGCAATGGAAGTGAAGAAGATGCAGATGAAGGATGGGGTCATAACACCGGATTTCAGAGCACTGCAATGTTTTTGATATACTGCTGAGATTTGTAATTGACAGTCAATCAATTAAAACTTTAATGAGTAGCAATATGAAGGACCAGTCTCTGTACACTATAAAGTCACCCTGAGGGGAATCTTTAGCATACTTTAGTCTAACACCACCCCCTCCCTTGTGAATGAAAACCGACTGAATGAATGAATGTGTGACAACAATAATAAAAACATCACCTTTCACAGCAGCAGTAGTGGTCTCCTTGAATCCCAGGCTGGCATAGGGGCTCGTGTTGAAACCATTCAGGCCACCCTTACAGCCACAGGCAGTCTTGAACCTCAGGAGATCCTCACAACCTCCCAACCTGCAGCCCCCCAGGTTTCCCTCCATCAAGTTTAAGGCAATGTAGTTAAGTCCATTTTGATAACCAGCTGAAGTCTCTCTGCACATGGGACCGGTGTGGTCCTCGCTGGGCTCCTCTGAGCTGCGAACAGAACGGCACACGTTTTCCACAGAGGCCGAGCTGTGTCGTTTGCTGTCGTGGGCAAAAGAAGGACACACGGGTGTGACAGTAGTGGTGGAGGAGAAAGTTTCAGAACTGTGACGCCTGCGCCCCTGAGGGTCAGCCCGGATAACTTTAGCCCCCCTGTTTGGATCTATGACAGATAGCGAAGGACCCCCTAGGAGAAAAGAGTCTACTGGCACAGGAGAAACTACTTCCACTAAGCTGCTCTCAAGGCTGAGTCTCTTGACACAAGCAGCAGGACTGTTGGGGAGGGGCCCAGCGTCAGGGGTGCAGAGGACAGGTAAAGGTGCAGGAGGGCCAAAGGTCATCTCAGCGTAGTCGTCTTTTACTGGAGCAGGCTCACACACTGCGCTTCTTTGCTGTTGCAAAGGTAATTCCTCCACTCTGTCCTTTCTCTGTTCCTCTGTCCTTTTTTCCTCCTCAACTGTCTGTGGATCCTGCTCGGAGCTCACAGGACTGGGGCAAATCAAAACTTCTGGTGTGTGGTTTAGACAACTTGCCGGGGGAGAATCCCTCACTTGGTGTGCGTCAAGGTGAACAGGGGAGCTGATGTCAATGTTAGCATAGTCTGACAGGGTTGCCCCTTCCACCTTCCCTGTGCTGGAGCTCTCCGGTGTTGTGGATGTCAGTGGGATGTGGGCAGCATTACTAAAATCTATGTTGATGTATTCTCCAGGGCTGCGTGGCTCTGACGGAAGGGGATGTTCATTCATACATGGCAGGGTCCTGAGGGATTCGAGAGCCAGGCGGGTGGGCCGACACACCCTGTTGCGATGTAGCATGCCCCCATCTATCCGAGTCAGCCTGAGAGGAGAGGGAATGGAGGACAGAGTATCTGGTGTTACCGGAGAGCTGCTGGACACATATTCTCCAAGGGAGACAGGACAGTAGTTGGACTCCTCTTCTATCCGTTGTCTTTGTAGACTCATTACCACATACTGGTCTGTGTCAGTGGACCCATTGCGCTGTAACTGGACTTTAAGTGATCTTGGTAGTGAGCTGAAGGAATAAGGCTGTCTGTGCAGCAGGTGTGCATCCCCTGAAGGACTGAGAATGTAGTCAGGGGGTGTAAGAGAGACCAGATTGTCAACAGGAGACATGTACAAGTACTCGCCATTGTTGGACTTTCCATCCGTGCTCTCTACTGACATCTTGTTTCCACACCACATGGGCATGTAGCCACTGTCATCCAGAGAAATGCTCCCTGGGGAGTCTCTGCATGGGGCCAGCCCTGCAGAGGAGGAGTGTGAACGGGGATTGATGATCTGCTTCGGAGCAGAGACACACATGGGGCTCATGGGCATGTAGGGGTCATCCTTAGACCCTGGTTTCTGAGGTGCCACTCCTGGCATCATGGGCATGTAGCCACTGTCGCCATGGAGACTGTTCGAGCTGATGTTAACATCCTTGTAATCCTCAAGTCTGTTTCCTTTAGGTGAAGCAGTGTGACACCTCAGAGATGACTGGCTTCCGCTCGTGTTTGTGGCCCTCATGAGAGTGTACTCATCCAGAGAGGCTGAGGACACCTGTGGGGGACGCCTCTGCTGGCGGGGGGTTGTAAGGGAGTAGGTCCGCTTTCGATAAGCCTTGTCCAGTTCGGACAACCGCCTGTACCCATTTTGATGTTGCCGCTCCATCACCATGTAGCCATCAAGTTCACTGCCATCCCTGGAGGGTGGGGTGTCTGCTTTGAGGGATTCCGGAGTGTTGCTCCGGAGGGTGAGGGGTAACCTGAGGTCCCGTGCATCTGCAGGGCTGGAGCCGTACTCCTCACACGATATAAAACCTGCATCACTGGGGGATCCTGAGAAGGATGCACTGCAGCTGGAAGGGCGGGGGGCACTGCTTTCCACGCAGGAGGAAACATTTCCTGGGCAAGTGGAGGCCACAGGCGGTGAATGAGATAGAGGCATGGACATGGACTTACTGTGCTGAAGGGTGGAGGATTCAAATGTCAGCGAAGGACGAGCAGTAATGGTGTGAGATCTGCTCAGGAGGGTCATGTGGACCCCAGGGCTGAGGGGGCTCCCTGTCGCAGACATTGGGCGTGTCATGGTGCCATCGCCCTCGCTGGCCGCGCGTATTCGACAAGAGGCACATTTAGTCACAGGAGAGGTGGCAGCCGTGCTGTCGGTGCGCGAGCGGCGGGGAAGCCCGGTCTGGCTAGGGGGGAGGTTGTTCAGATGCCTCCGTGTGGGCACGGAAATAGGGTTTGTACTGGAGGACTGGCTTTTGCTGCGTGGACGGAACTCCGACAGCTCCTTCATCGCCTTCATGGCCTCTAAGATAGTTTCATGGATATTCTGAGCCACCACAGAGTCGTCTGCCTGCATCCACAACTCCCCGGGACCGGTGGCTGCAGATCGACCAACCTCGATGAAGAAAAAGCTGTCAGAGTGGCCGCACCTTCGGATGTTCATCAGCTGCAAAATGACTGAGGCGACCTCAGAGTTGAGCTTGAGGAAGCTGATCGTCCGGCTGGAGAGGCACAGCCTGTACACCCCGGTTAGGTTCCTGCTCTGTCCCAGGCCCTTGGACTTCAGATTGACTTGCCAGACCTCCTTGTAGGCGGCGGCCACCGGTGTTATTACACCGTAGCTCGTCTCGTCGAAGCCAACCAGCGAGGACGCAGAGTTGGACGCGGAGCCGTCACAGACTTTCCCCTCAGCCATCAAATCCGTGAGCTCCCGGTACCATCCGTCCTGCTCCTGCTCGTTCTCCGCCACCACCGCAAAATACTCGTCCTTGGTGTAAAGCGCGATCAGATACTTGTATTTCGCGTCCGCTCTCTTGCTGATATTGAGACAGCAGTCCAGAGGGATAACTCTCTTCGCGGCTGATTTGTTTCTCCATTTCTTCTCGTTCTCGTAGTACTCCAACCGCGCCGGGAAACCTTCACTCGTCTCCTTTAGAACAAAAAAGCGCTTGTGTCCGTGTTTCTGCTTCTTCAGATATCCGTATTTCTTCACGCTGTTTGCGTTATTACTACTGATGCTGCTGGCCAACGGCGGCTGGCCGCCCGGGTTCGGCGGAGTCGCCATCCTCGCGTCCAGACGCAGCGCTTTCCTTTCCCTCCTGGAGTCGCTTCAGAAAACGCCGTCTACTATTTCCAAAAGTGGTCTGTAGTAAAATCTCGAAGCGTTCGTCTTCTCCCGCAGCCAAGCAATAAATAACACATGTCTGCTGGCGCTCGGGCTGAAGAGGGAAACATGTGACGACCTACATACACATCCAGCTTTGGTTTGTTTGAAAAAAAATGGAAAGGAAAGGAGAAGGAAAAACCACACACGCCGACAGTGGGAGGCGCGCTCTGAGCTCATTGGGCTCATTGGCTGAAACGGCATGAATGCTGGAGTGAGAGAAGGAAAAAGCCCTCCTACTATCACTCTGCCCTCTTCCGACTCTTTTAAGCGTAGTCAGCCAGGGCTGGAGCTTTATTTATAGCTCTCTGGTGTCATGATCCATCTTTTGGCTTCTGCGGAGATATTTTAGCAGGATATTGCCCCAAATAGATACAAAAACGACTCGTTCCTGCTTTTATTTGCGTCACTTCAAGCTTTTGGGTGGATTACAAAACATTTATACAATTATGACACCGGATATATTTATTCCAGTCTCCAGCTGTCGTCTATCATTCCAGCCAAATAACCAGGATTCATTATTAAAGCAGGTCACGTGACCTTTCAGATCAATATTCATGTGGGATCTGATCTAGAGCAGCGTGTCTTATTGCGTAACTCGCCTGCTGCGTGTTTTTCCAAAGCTGCTTCATCTGTCCTTTCATTCAGAGACAGAAAGCTTAAATCATTTATTCAGTACTTTACTCCCCGAACGAGGCAGATAATACCCATATTTGGTCAAATAAAACAGTGATGACGTAAAATGATATATAATTCATCTTATATCAATGCGTCATCGGCCGGTGATGTGCGTAATGATGAAATGCTGGAGCCGCCGGCCGGCTCCGTTCTCGTGATGCGCTGAGCCTCTGAGAGGCAGCAGCCCGTCAGCCTGACTTCCTGTGGGGTGAGATCCATCCCATCCTGCTCTCTCTGCGGAGGGATGGGGCTGTTTCACTGACGGAAGCAAACTGTACACAGTGTCCTGGCTGCTCTGAATGCAGGTCAGACACAGTAGATGGAGGGAATAGTGCTGAACTCGCACTGAATGAAGATTGTTGCCTTCTCTTTAAAGGAATGACCCAGAATATCTGAGCAAACATTTCCATAAAACTATACTTGTAGGCTATATGTATATGTTCACAGTGACACATTTTTGAGAGGGGGTGCAATTTGCAAAAATTGCGATTTAAACAATTTTCAATTTTATTTAATTTCTAGAGATCATGCAACTCTGGGTTTCTTACCCTGCAGAAGGGTCCTGAGCATCCTAATTGCTGGGGCAGAGATCAGGCCGAGGACTGATGCTGATCCAAACAATATAAAACAACTTATTTTTTTTTTCAATTGTAAACAGCGATCAGCATCATCCTTCACTGGTCTGTAGAAATGTTTGTTCAAAACTGTAAAATTTAAAAAATAGGAGACAGCTGTCCCAAAGGATTGATGAGCTAACAGCTAGTCAGAGTGTGGTCAAGACCAAAACAGATCCAGTCTCATAAATCTCACATTAGTTCACAAAGAGTTTCTTTTCTAAACTTTTAAACCACATATCAATTTTTGTGTGTTTTTAACAGAAATATTAAGAAGTGTTTCATTGCTGCTGGTCTGTGTATTAATCATAGCATCCACATAACCATAATAGCTGAAGGACATAATGGAAAACTCATGCATGAGAAAATAAAAACAGCAACAGAGGTTCTTCAGATCTGCTGCAACACACATCGCTGCAGAAAATGTTGCATGACACAAAATGTGGAATTTAGAGCCGCTGAAGACTCATCTGTACAGGCCGGCTTTTGCGTGACCTTCGGCCGATTCTTCATCACCACCCTCTCCTCGTTCAGCTCTTTCCTGAGATCCACTGATTGCCTTTTCCTTATTCATTTTCTTTTCCCTTTCCTCACATTTTTTGATTACAATTTTTACTTTTCCCATTTTCTTTTTTAATTTCTTCATTTTTTATTTTTTGTTCTTCTGAAGCAACTCATGATTTTCAACCTGAGAGGCGCATTTGCTGTGTTCGAGCTCGCACTGCTGTAGTAAATAAAGTCCACAACTCTACTAGAAGAATGGCCCTTCAGGTAGCAGTTGGTAGAAAGTGACAACCTTAACACAGAAACATGTTTCAAAATGCACCTGTACTAAAACTTTTAATGAATAAAAAGGCATCCTAAGCTGCCAGTGAAAGCTGTACAATGTGTGAAAGTGGCAGACAGAAAAAAATGACTGATATGCTCATTTTCCTTCAGATCCCAGTCTTGGCTCTCCTCCTCCTTGTCCTTGGCGTGATCTTGTGTAGGTCAATGACATCATCAGGGCCGACGACCACATCAGCCAGCAAACTGGTTTGATCTGTTGATCACCTGGACTTACATTTCCATAACCCAGGAAGAGATTAATTTGTGTTCTGTCCAGTTTTGTTAATAACCTGAGCCACATGAGCCTCACTGATGTTATATTGATATAAATAGATGTAAAGGAGTCCATCGCCTCAGCGTACGAGGCTCGGATGTCTCAGTGTGCAAAGACACTCTCATGGACTCTTTAAACTTTTACACTTTGATAGCAAACAAATATAACGACTTGTGTTGTTGATTTTATTTTTATTATTTACTTTTCTCCAAACCCCTGAGTAGATTGGCTGTGTGAAGTCTTTCAAGTAGAGAACAGCTTGCCTTGTATAACACCGTGCCCTGGAATGGGCAGCGTAAACAGAAACTGAGTGGGGGTGGTGAGAAGTGGGAGCAGGGGCAGAAAGTGACTCTTTCCTTTTTGCATAACCCGTGATGCATAAGAAATTTCAAGTGGCCCATCTTTAACATACCAATAAGGTGTTTACTGGGCGCGCTGCTTTGCAAACTCAATCTGGTGGCGTCTGTAATACGTCCTTGCCCTTTTCTTGGTTAACTACATGAATATTTATCTCCATACAATTTACACAGCATGGTGCATTAATTTGCAAGTTAATTAAATGGCCAGCCAAACCGGATTTATAGCCTTTAAACGGGGCCAGCTCACCGTCTTGGAGCCGCCCGTGCAGATCCTCACAGGTTTATTATTTTTCAGACGTGAGATGTATCTTCTCAAAACAGATCGGTGTTATTATCTGGATCTATTGCCCCCAAAAGTGATAATTCTGATCCTTACTGCGAGCCAAGAAGTCGTAACACGTCAGATAAAAAGTATAGTGGAAATAAAAACTATGATGAATTAGTTCAAACCAGAAGCTATGACTCTAGCAACCGTTTGCTGAGTCACACGCACGTTTCAGACGGTGCACTGTCACTGGTGTGACGATTAGTTTGATAAGCTTTCATAAAGCAGATTAGAAAAGCCAAACTGATGAGATAAGATTAAGGACGAGTGGTGGGGGGTAAAGATTAGGCTCTGTGCCACATTACGGGCCCCCTCAAATGAACAGTACAAACACGTATTGTTGGCGTCCAAACATGACACACACACTCCTTACCCCCGCCTCCTCTTCATCTCATTAGTCAAAGCCAAAACAGATTATAGCCACAGCCCGGGGTGTCTGATTCATATTGTTGTGGCCCTGGTGTTTTGATGTTTTTGATCTTAGTATAATCCCAATGTTATTTAGTGACTAGTATTTTTTTCAGTGTTTGTTTCTTCTGATCAGTACTGACTTGTTTTCTCTCTCTCTCTCTCTCTCTCTCTCTCTCTCTCTCTCTCTCTCTCTCTCTCTCTCACACACACACACACACACACACACACACACACACACACACACACACACACACACACACACACACACACACACACACACACAACACCAATCCCTCATCACAAAAGAATCTATTTAAATTTATACAACAACATGCCCGTGTGGGTCCAAAAACAAGCAAAGGATTGAAATCATTGTCAGCACACCACCAATCAGCTCAAAATGAAAAACATAGACACAACAGAATGCGACAGCACTTTGTTTACATGTCAGTTTAGTGTTAAATGTGTCATTAAAACCGTTTAAAAGACTGTAGGTGTAGAAAAAAAAACTGGTGAAGATTAAAGGCAGATTGTTGTGTCTGTTCAGTCCCTGGTAATTGACTCATTCCTCAAATCAATCCAACAAATTCATTTTTTGGTTAATTTTGTGCCAATTGATCACATGCCGTCCGGACTGGTGGGAAAATAAACAGATGCTGATGGGGATCTTTGTGCTATTGGACGTCGCTATTGAGCCACAACTCAAGTGATTACAGTTTTGATTACTTTAGCTTACCAGGCCTTTGAAATGGACCAGTCCTATTATATATTAAACTGCACACTGGACAAAAGGAATGGGTGGACATCTACTATGTTGCTGAAAACTCAATTACTGTGCAGATGGGGATCAATGCCCCACTTCCATTGTGTAATAATGGCTGTGCATGTTTGATGAAGGACTGCTCATAAAGTTCGAACCTCTTCTTAATAAAATCATTTTGCAGAAACTCAACATTTTCTCATTTCATAGTTCTCTGTGACAGCCATGTATACTTTTTTCTAGATCGATTACATGTTAGAAAAATGCAGCTAAGGTGGAATCATACTAATTTATTACCTTTCATTTCAGCCCTGTCTTTATGGTTGGGACTTTCATGGGAGAACGGTGCCTTCGTTCTCATATACAGGAGATACACAACACCTCTACCTTCTTCTAGTGTTAACAAGTGGTGTTTTTAAATATAAAATAAAAAAAATGCTCTTCAACTGAAAATATTAATATGATCAGCTAAGTAAGAACTATTTAAAGGGGCAGTATGTAGGATTTTCACAATGAAATAATCACAAAATGGTCTAGTGACTCAATCATTTTGGAAGGAAGGTTACGTTGAAACAGATTCTGCTCTCACCTGAGCCCTGGCTGGTTGTTTCCTTGTTTCACTTGTGCGCCCCTCCTTTTAAGCAAAGCTCAGGCTCTGTCTCCCTGCCAGATTATCGACAGCCTTGTGCCAGTAGAGACTCCAGTGACATTTTCAACCAAGCCTTTTTGACTTTTGACCACATTTTCTATCCACCGAGTCTGCCTGCCTTGCTCTTCATGGATTTTCTTGCCCATCTGTCATCTGGACCCCGACCTTGGCTCTGAACTTTGACTACTGATCCCTGCTCAACCCCCTGATAAGTATTGCTAACTCCTCCCTGTTTATGTATGACCTTGCCCGTACCTCACTCTGACGTTGGATTTTTGGATACTTGAACTTCTGTGGGCTGTACTAATTGTCTGTGTCGTTTTGAGGAGAGGAGTTGAATACACAGACCGAAGAGGAGCTCCCATAGCTGTCACCGAGACAGTCCCGCCCCCTCTCCCTGTCATCGCAGCACATGCTGCTCCGTCTCCAGTTTTTCTATCAGCAGAATCTTCTGCAATTCCCTGATTCTCCCACATTTGAAATAAAAAGCCTTCAGCGTTTTACTGCTGTGTTCTGGCTGAATTTCCAGGACTTCAGGTTATACCCATTACATCTTCTTCTCAATTTACTTTGTGTGGCTCATCTTTGCTAATGGGCAACAGCCATAACTCACAGATAGGCAGTGAGAAAGTGATGTTTTGTTTATAAAAATGAACTGCAGTAACCAAATTTGACCAGAGGAAATAATTCTTACCTCGTACATACGGCATCTTTAAATCAACAGACAGCTGAGGGGTATTCTTTAAAGGTCTTTGATAGGGGTGTTCAA